GAGTAACCCCCTGCCTTCCCAGCACCGCAAGGCACCACCTCAACGCCCCGCGAGCAAGGAGGAGAAGCCCTGCCAAGCGCTCGAGGGGCCGAGGCCTCGCCTTCTCCTGCCCACTCCCCCCGGGGACTCCAGATTCAACCTCTCCGGCGCCCCCAATCAAAAGGCCGCGCACACTCCCAGCCCTCCTTTTCCCTCCTCGCAGCCTCTCCGGCCTGCTCACAGCCCTGGGCGAGACGCAGCCCAGCGGCCGCGCTCTCTTAGGCAAGTCCGGCCCTCGGATCAGACGCGAAGGCGTGCACTGCGGACCTACCACCAGCCCCAGTACCTGCTCTTGCGGCCGGCTAAACAGCCGGCCTACACGGTGCCAAAGTCCTTCTCGGGCCCAAGGCGCGCACAGGCGCCTCTCCCTCCTCGCACGGCGAAGCCGGGTGCGAAAAGCTACAGCGCGCAGGCGCCGTTGAACCAGCCATTTGGCGCAGCTTCCGGTCCGCCTGTACGCAAATAAGTCTAGGGACAGAACCGGGCTCTGGGGCTGTGCTTATGTTTCTGGCGAGCCTTGGAGAGTAGGCTTGCGGGGCTAACCAGCCGCAGGCGTGCAGGAAGGGTCCCGTGTAAGGCGCGCAGGACGCGCAGTGGTACTACGAACGAGCCATGTCTTTCTCTACCTGCTCCTAAAATGCGGGAAGGATAACCGGGCGAAATCCATCGCTTTGCTCAGCGAGCCACTGAACGAGGGGAGGTCGCAGCTTCTCTCTTGGTATATGCGCGCCTCCGACAGGGTAACTAAAGCCAACGGGGTTGCCCAGAGGGGAGCACGCAAGGAAAAAAAGGCGACATATGTACCATCCCCGTTCTCTTTGGGTATCCCTGGTGCAGCTGCGAGCATTGTGCCACACTTTCTCCTGTTGGCTGACTCAGCACTAGCTGTTATAATACTGCCTGAGCAACTTTTGCATGCTGTAAATGTTTCTGCTGTTTTTCCCTTTAATAATAAAGTTTTGCTTTCTTTCTTGATAACGTGCACCAAAGCTTTCTGGACTGGCAGGATATTCAAAGAAGGTAATGGCATCACACATGTAGTACATTTCTAAGATTAGCTCTTGGGATAAATCTTAAATATAAATATGATCCACAAACTGATAAAGCCATTGGATATGAAACATCTTGGATGAAATGACCAGTTGCTGGTGGGGGCAGTTCCCTCTCTGAATAGCCTGTCTAAGCAGTGCCAGGTTGTGTTATAAACATGCAAGGTGCTAGATACATTGTTTTTCACATCCAATCCAGAAGACTCCAAAATTGCTCGATGTCTGAAATCCCTTGTACTCTCTTTGGTTGTTGGAGGCAAACTCTGAGGTTCTTGTCCATGATGGGATTAAATTTGCTGTACCTGCTCACTGCATCTTCCTTTACTCCCAGTCCTCCCTCCTTATAATGATCTTTGAACTAGGTTCACGTAACAGGCTAACCATTTCCCCTTGGTGCTCTAATTCTCGCTGATCAGATATTCTTCTAGCCAACTTCTATCAGAGCAGGATATGCGAGATACCATGGATCACAAAAGTCTAGATGGAATTCTCTAGCTGCTTAGAGTCTTTAGGGGTCACTATAACAAATCTAAATAATAATTATAATAACTTATTGTTGCAGCCACAAGTCATAAATATTTTGGTCGATGTTGAAAGGATTTGGTAGGTGACACAGTGCTACATTCTGCATAGTCTCTGTGAGAATGAGGGAGGTTATTTACCAGAGGTTAGCTCTGTATTTCCTACTTGGGGTTTCTACGGACCTTACCATACAAATAGATGGAGGTGGCTACCATCAGGAATGTCCTTTGAGCACCAAATTAGAAGTTGATTTGCACTGAGTGGCTCAAATCATTAGTTTATTGAGCACAGAGGTATAAGGGATTAACTACATTTTGTAAGAGATCTGGGAGTGGATAGTGGCTACTGTACTTTTACTCAATTTCCCAGTTCTGACTGTGTGCTTGATAGGCTCCCCTGATTGCTAGGATTTTTTTCTGAGTCCCCCTCCACCTGATTTCCGTCTTCCCTCAAGTAGTGGACTGTTATGAGTAGGACTGGCTATGTTCTCTTGATCTTACTCAATAAAGATGCTATGACTATATTGAAAGGTGGCTGTGTTTTTCTATACTGAATCATTATTCAGTCTGTAGCCACATTACAAGTCTTCCCCCTCCTCCAAGTTCCTTTTTTGCAGCCAAGGAAATCCCCCCCACATCATGTCACTGACATTGAGTAGCAAATTGTCAAAACTGGCATCATGGTTTCCCATTTTAAAAAAAGAGAACATTAAGCATCTATAGACTTAATGCATCTATTTTACTTTAACTCCCTCTTTAACACAAAAAAGGAAAAAAGCAGGGCAAAACCCCTAGTTCCACCCTAAATGGTAATATCCCTGCATCATCACCATGTCATCAGCCACAACACATTTCCCTGCCCCATGCCAAGAAATGAATTGGGAGTTGGAAGAGAGGGTGATGACTGGAGCAAGATGAAATCCTGTGGGACACCAGAAGACAAAAGTTGAGGTGCCAAACAATCTCACAGCACTACCTTCTGGACATTCAGCTCCTGGCTGTGGGGGGGAGGGGGAATAGTTGTGGCAAGCCACTAACACATCTGGTAAGTTGATGCCATGCTGAAAGATCTGAATAGATAAACTGTCCCATATGATTTATCTCCAACCTTCTTTCTGCAATGAACTCCAAACCTGTCTTGAAGCCTCAAGATCCTGTTGAAGCAGGTAATAAATCGTTATATTAAGATGGCAGATCATTTTAATTTGAATTCTGAAACCATTTCTGGAATACAATTCTATACATGGAAGTTAGCTACATCTCAATTTGAGTGCTAGAGTTTATATTGGAATCTGAGATAGACTACATATTACTTACACAAAAAAAGAAAAAGAATAGAAAAGGGAAACGAGTGAAAAGGTACTCTTGTTACCCTTTCATTTTCTTGTGATGCTTGGAGTGCTGTTGGAAGTTGTTGGGTTTTTTAAAGACTTTCTGTTGCCACTCTCTCCCATGGAAACAGGCTGGTGAACAGTAAAGCTGTGCCAGTACTATATAGCTACAAAGGTACATGGGACAGTGATGAGATGGGAGGGGGAACTGGGAAAACAGTTAACAATGGAATGGCAGGCTTAATCATGATCTGCTGCTGACCAATTTATAGACAGATTTAAACAAAGTCCATCTGATGTAAGTAGTTATTTCACTTCACCAGGATTCTTTGTGGAATGGACACTAGCCAGAACAATTCCAGGTGGTGTCTATCCTTACTCACTTGTTCAATCTGTGGTACATTAGAAGCTTTAATAGATGGTCAAAAGATGTCTTCTTCCATTCTTTAACATTTAACAAGTAGATGTTCCTTCAGTACAGATTATTGGAAGATTAATGGCTTCTTAATCATACATTAATATTTAATCCAGGTTCAGATAACACACCAGAAAGTTAAGCAAAACCAAACCATGTGATTGTAAGAGTATCTTAACCATGATCTGTCCCATGATCTGAATTCAGATGGTATGGTTAGACAAACCACAGTAGAACAGCAAGTCGTATGAATCAAGATTTTGTAAGCCATTCTGGACAGCTCAGCAAACTGTGATAGAATATACCTATTGTACTAAGACATTGTTTGTTTTAACCATAGCTGGATAAATCTCAATTGGTGGATTAATACATAATACTAAACCTTATCCCTTAACTTCCTACACACACACTATCTGGGTCTACACATGCTAAGATAAAATCAAACAAATTACATTATGCCTATGTTTATACAAATCTTAACCCTAAAAGCTCAATAACTGTGCACATGTCACTATTTTCTCATATTGTGTGCTACATTGTAATAGAACTTGATAAAAACAGATAAACTTCCATTTATCATGCTATCAAAAACCAAAATGGCCACAATGGTAACTATTTCAGTTTTCGACATGATATGCCTACAATGACCATACATCCTTTATTATAAAGGGCAGTCCTTTATTTCAGAAAGCTGTCCTTTGGATTTATTTATTTTAAAAAAACTCACTTTTGTCCTTTATTTTGGTCATTTAACTTTTACTCTACAAATGGTATGCAGTCTTTCACATTCATGTGAAAAATACGGAAACTGCCTTTTTAAAATAAATTCATACTGTTTGATGTTAGATATTTTTATTAGAAATGAATTTGTGTAAAATTTTTCTTGGTTTTACTCTTGAATTTTCCTTTGTAAAAGAAAGTTATAAACATAAATAATTAAATGTTTTTATCCTTATGAACCTCTTTCAGATTTGTCCCTTTTTCAGGTTTGTCCTTTATTTTTTCCCAAGAAAATATGGTCACTGTAGATATTTGGTTAAAAAGAAGCTTGCATCCACATATTAATCAAAATTCAGGCCTAGTATGTTACATAAATCCACTCTAAAACTCACTGGGAAATGGAATGAAAAGCTGCTGATAAGATGGGAGAAAGGAACAACCAACTTATATCTACTTTCAAGCATCTAAACCATGATTTGGACTGTGGTTTACTAATCAACTTTTAATATCAGTAAGGTTCATAGACGTAGTTTGGGTTTTATGTTTTGAGACAAGAAAGCTAATAATACCTTGTAGTGAATTCAGATTTGTGGTCTGGCTACTATGGATGGAAAAGGTTAAAGAACAAGATTTTTTAGTGAAAAATAAAAGAGAGGCTGGAAAACGTTCTCTAGAATATAGCAAAGAAAATACCATTGCCCTTTACTGATAATATTGTTCTTTATTAAGATATGAATCACCTGTTCAACAGCAACTCTGTTAAATATCACTCTAGCAGTAACAGAGGGTAAATATCATGAAAGGACAGTGTTCCATAAAGTGAATCATGCTGCTGAGTGCATCAGTTTTATTTTTAACAGTCCATGTCACATGGATCCATTTCAGTTATTTTATTTCCTGCCTCCTCAGATTTCTTTGTCCTGTGCTCTGCTCCTAGCATTCTCTGGCCATTTCAGCTCAGCTGGATAAATCCAAGAGACCTTTATGTACATGAAAAGAGATTGTACATTTAACGGTAAGGCTTTTTTTTAAAAAAAAACTTCTTTGGAATACAAGCTGAAAGATAAACGCTATATGGTATGTCAAAATCACCATCAAAAACAGTAATTTGCAGTTAATTTGCAAATTTTATTGTCCAAATCTTTAGACTATTTTGAAGCTTGAAGAATTGATTAAAGTTGGGATCTCAGGCTTGCATACTATACTTCCACTAGAAAATAAGGAATGTGTTTCAAGCTAATTAACTAAAGAGAGATATTAAGCATTAACCTATTTGAGCTTCAGATACTTACCTCCCTAAATCCCATTAGCACTTATACAATTTATATGCAAATTTACATGTAGTCTTAAAGCTTACTTTAAAACTTACTTGGTTACTTTCTTTTCTTTCTTGTACCTGTTCTACTTCCGTCAACAGATGATTATCAGCCTGAGGCATGATCTCATCCTGAGAATCTGTTTTAAGTGCCAGGGCTCAGTCCCTCAAGACATTAAATCAAAAGAAGGTCAGGAGTGCCCTTATTTCTTTTCTGATCAGCTGAGAGTCAGAGTGGACAGAATAACAATGTAATGACATCACACCAGTTGGTGGAACTGGAATGTCAGGGGTTGTGCATTATTTTTGAAGTGTATTAAGCCTAACTGTGGTTTACATACCATTTTTGGTTTATGTCAGATACCATTGGGAAATTGTATCTTCATTTTTCAGGAATTTGTCACTAATCATCCAAGCTGAAATTCTGGGAGGAAGGGGTTGAGGACATAAAAAGAGATTTTATTGTTGCTGTCCATCCTTGTACCAAACAATAATGAGGAATTTTAGTAAATGAAAAAAAAAAGAATCCTTACTAAACAATTAAGATAATTGCTAAATTGATTATAAGAAAGTGCCTTTGAAATTCCTGAGTAGAATTAACTGAGCTTTGTACTTTTTTAATGATGAGAATGGCTCTATCAGGAACTTCACCTCATGAAATTGGGGCATCACCAACAGCTTCTCCTGAGAGTTATGGGTAGTTCCTCAAAGCAAGTCCTTGTGTTGGCAGAAAAATATGCTAGCATAATTTATGCTGCCCTGGTGGATGATTTACCTCAGCAATGAGGCTTGTTAGTAACCTTGTCTTTGCATCTTTACTGTAGTGATTGATAGATTCCCCTGGTTTTGTTTCTCTCCTATCTAGCATCAGCAGCCATCACAGTTGCACTCCTTAATGTGTGGTGGGGCAGGCCTTGGCAAGTGTTGGTGGGTTCTTGGGATGGAGGATTTACCTAACTTTCAGTTTGCCTGAGTGGCAGGTCACTGGGGTAGAAATGCTCCACACTGGCAATCTCACGTGGGCTATATCTCAACATGGGTCTGCTGGTCTTCTGGAGTATCAGTAGAACCAGATCCAAAAATAGCCCAGTCAAAAGGTCGGTGGGTTAAATGAAGAGTATGGGGGTATGGGGTAAAGTGTGAGGATCTCACATAACACACTGAGGGAACTCCCTCCCATTTCATACCAGCCCTTCCCTTCCCTACACACCAAACTGTCAGCAGAGCTATTTTTGCATAACAGTTTACCAATCTTCCCATTACTTGTGCTAGAATGGGGAACAGGCAGAATATTGCGTATCAGTAGCTGCTGGAAGGGAATGGTAGCACTGGCTATGAGAGGCTGCAGTCAGCAGCCCCCAGAAATATTCCATGAAGTATTCCAGATGGCATTATAATTGGCAAAAGGGCACTGCCTCCCTCCCAAAGTGACAAAACCAGCGGAGACCATAGCTGTACAAAACCCCTTATTGGTAGAAGCAGCAGAAAAATTTTAAAATACCCATTAGGGACAGAAGCAGCAATACATATTTTCCCCAGTTTTAAATTAACCAGCAGTCCTTTTTTATGAACACGTGGCATCTCTGATCTTCTACAACACTGAGGGTGGCTGTAGCTGAACTTGAACAAGTAACCAACTTATCCTGTTTCTAAAAGAAAACCTGACCTAAGGCCTCAGCTGAGGAAAGAGCTTGTTATCAAAACAAAGAGAACAAGAGGGAAATTCATTTTCTCTAGCCATAGAGGATCCCATGTTTAAAAAAGGCATTTTGGGTTACATTATTAACATGTTTCAAGACCCTGGGAGAGAAAGCTAATTTTAAATGGCTGCAAAGGACAGCTAATCTTTCTTTTTTCTGATGGTGGCAGCACTTCACGGATTGTTTCCCACCAGAACTGTGTGGCTAATTCAGTGTTTCTCTCCGTTTGCTTGATTAGAATAGGGATTAAATAGAGACAAACTTCTTCACGGTACAGATTGTCCATAGTTTCCATGCCAAGTGTGATTGCTTATGATGATTTCCTGAGGGCAGAGTTCACCAAAGTAAATGACAGCTTTCTCTCAGTTTTCTGTCATCATGGAAGTTAGGGGAGAAGAATGAAGAAGTACCGTAGGAAGCAGGTTCAAAGGAAGAGTTCTGAAGGGTAAATGCTGTCTTCAAGCTGATCTCGTCTCCTGATGACCAATGTGAACATGTCCCTGTTGTTTTCTTCATAATATAGGAGCAATTTGCCATTGCCTTCTTCTGGGATGTTTTTTTCAATTTCCCAACCTCGCTCACAGCCCTGGTGTAATCTGGACTCTCCCCTGTGAGCACTAACCAGGCCTATCTTTGTCTCCCTTCCCAGCCCTGACAAGGTCAAGCAGGCACTGAAGACTATCCATCTTCTGATCAGGGGAAAGGAGAGCAAGGACTCATTTCAGGCTTGCTCTCCATCCCTACACCTAGTGCTCAAAAAGAACAAAAGTACAAAGAGTCAATGTTTTTTGAGCTGCATCTTCAGTGCTATATGTATTTAAAAAGGTAAACTGGTGTGATATATAGCATTTTTGCACTAGGTGTTTACAGCATTACTCATTTATTGCTGTAGTAATATAAAGCCTGTCTACATTAATGATATATTGCCACAACAATGGCTGGCGTATGTTATAAATCACTAGTATACTACTTGTCATATTTCAAATATAGAGGTATTGCACATTAATATAATTTATTAGCAATAAGGCAGTTATATGGCATGTACGAACAAGCCTTCTGTGAAGAGCAATAAAGATAATACTTGACATAAACTACATAAACTTCTATATATTAATCACACTAACAAGGAAAAAATCTCTATGAATTTTTCTTTTCAGAAGACTAACCAACTATTTACATACTGACTTTTATACATCTTTTTCCAGGGACGACTCTAGAGCATTCAGAGTATCTAATCTTTCATGTTTACCTCTCCTCTTTGCAACATTATCTTGTGCACCTGCAAAGGGGAGGGATAAACCTGCTTCTAGACCTGCCACACCTACTAGCAAAATAACAGGGCCTTTGGTAAATTTTGCACTCATGGCCATTTAAAAAAAAAAAGATTAATTTTTTATTCTTCACTCCTGTAGTCATACACTGAGAGTAAGATGAAGAACAGTACTGTTCGTTCATATGCCAACGCAACCCTTCAGTGAACTGGCAGCATAGCCTCAAGGAAATTAGTGGTTTTATGGCCCTCACAGACTTAGACACATTTTCCTAGTAAGACTGTGTAGTATGACCAGGATTTGACAAGAGACTTGGTTTATGAGAAATTAGCTTTGGTGCTCTTCTTTCCTACATTTGGTGGGAGCTGGCATTCTGATGACCCAGGAGAATTGGCCGCAACCTCAAACAGCAGCCTAGATTGCATCGTGCCCCTTGGGGGTTTAGAGATGCTAGGTCAACATGCAGATGAGGTTAATGGCTTTTCTTTTACCACTTTTCTTAACTATTGTGATGAGCGGAAACTAGGGCACACACTACATTTCATCAATGGATGCAGGCTCAGTGGACACAGAATTACATGGGCTGAGGGGGAAAAGAGAGGAAATACCTGTGTCAGACTTAGATCCCTCTACCCTTCCAAGAGACCATGCTAAAGAGAAAAAAAAGTGAAGTCATTCTTATGCTAGATGTAGGAGTAAATTTTAAAAAGGGAAGAAATTCTACTCCCTAAACTAATTCTTATTCTGAAGGAGGTTTCTCACTTGAGACAGGGTTGTCACCTAGCAAGGGATAGAAAAATAAACTTTAGTCTAACTCTAGTGTTTGGTAATGTGGTTTTACTGTAGACAACATGGAAGTTAAGTTGAGCCAGAATTTCTCAGGGCAGAGATGTCAATTGCATCAGTATCTGACAGTTATCCAGCTTCAAGGCCAAGATAGGCAGGACATAAAGTATGTTAAACTATGGGAAGGATGGGAGAAAAGAAGAATCAGAATTAAACTACAGCAGGTGTAATGAGGAAGACTGCACCTTCATGATGATAAAAGGCAATTCGCTGCTTTAGTGGCTCCTTCCTAGTATGCAATAAGATTTATATTAGCCAGCCATGTTGTGTTTCATGTATATCAAATAGCACTGAACCAAGTACAAGTCAAATCATATCAGGAAAGTCTGCTAAATTCTTGCAAGTGAGCCTGACTGACAGATGGACAAATTAGGTGCTCACAATTCAATTCCCAGAGAAATCAAAGATGGTCATCAGAAGATCTTTCACTCCATGCTACTCTTGATTGATTCATCCTTCAACCAAATACAGTTGCAATCCAGAACCATGGTGGTTTACAGAATTATCTAGTTTTGGAGACTATAGATGACTGTTCTTATGCTTGTTGGCCAGTTTATTTTCTGGAACTAAAGCTTGTTGCAGAGTTTTGGAGCCAGTGCTTGTAGAAGGCAAGGATAAAAACAAAGCTCTTTCTATGCCAAAAGAAATGAACAAAGGGAAAACCTCAATACATCTTTTGATTCTTCAATATTTCAGCAAAACGAAGGGGCTTCTCTATGTTTAAGCCAATTGCAAGCAAGACTGTTACAAGAAAACTAATCAGTTCTCCACAATATCTTCCGCTTCCAAGGAGAAAAAGAAATACAGTAGTCCTTTTCCTGACAGCAACCAGATTTGTTCACAGAGGCCAATAGGAGGCAGGCTCTTCAACTTTGCTTACCAC